AGGCATACCTGTCGTAAGAGGCGACTAAAAGCCATATACACTGTGTCAGACTTAAGAGACCATGTTTTGATTCAACATGGTCAAAGTCAGATAAGTGCTATAATATTCTGCTGGAAGTCAAATTTTTAGCTTTATATTTATATCACAAAATATAAGGCATTTGTCACAGCGACAAATGCAACCAGTCATTGAGTTTTTGGRGACTCAACTGGTAGTAGCAAAAGCTACAAAGTCAGACCAAAGACTTAAACCTGGTGCCACGGGGATCAGTAAGCCCTTGGAGGTACCTCCAGTCTGCCCATTGGGTTTGGCCCTTTGTGGAGATTCGTGGTGGCTGTGGTTTAAACTTAAATGCAAGAAGGGCATTTTATCCAATGTGGAGACGCACTGCGGCCGGGTGCCGGACCCAAAGTACGGCAGAGGTTTTAGATGGCCCTCGTACCCGACCAAGGTGACTAGGGTGTCCCTATCCACCCGAACCAATTGGAAGCAAGGATTAAATGCAAAATGCATTTATGCTTTGGGGCGCTGATCAACGAATTGTATTGATCTATGTGCTTCTAGCAATAGAAAGCACCGTGGAATTTAGTCTTCATAGACAGGTATTCACGTAAAAACACATTGACACATTGTAAGATAGGAATATCAGAGGAATGTTGGATACCAAATTTGGTTGAAATCGGTCGGGCGGGTACTTAAATATGTAAAATTTATTGCTTCTGGCGTATTTAGCTATTGTTTTATCGCGCTTTTAGTACATTTTAACAAAACCGTTATATGGGGAGTGAATGGGGGTTATCATCCCATTCCATCCATTTCCGGTAAGAGTTGTTATAATATTTACGCTAGGCGAGCTTGGCTGTTGTATCTTAAGCGATTTCAGAGATCTGAACATTAAACGTATTAGAGGGTGGGGACACGCCAACGTTCGCAACATTTTTTTCCACAGGTGCCCCTTGCCACTACGACCGCCTGTTAGGGTTTTATGTCTGACTTTAATGTTTGGTTAAGGTACAGTGGTCCGATTACGCCCATATACGAATTTTATTTTATTTTTCTAAGAAACGCGCATATCAAGTTTCATCAAAATACCTCAACTTTTACTCAAGTTACAGCTTGCATGATCCTTATCATTTATACATATTTATAGCGGGATTCTATAACCAGTCTCTAGTCTCTATTTGAGACATTTTGTGGTAAAATCTCAATTTGTGACTAGTTACTATTCACTAAACAGTCTCTAGCTTTAGACTAAATCCCATATAGGTACATTCCAAAAATTTTGTTAACTACTTCGTAAGTGATTCGAAATAAAAACACAGAGGGTGTATTGATATTTAGTGTTTCAAGTAAGCCGTCGAGGTTAATTATATACATTTTTATCTTCAATTATATACAATCTACATTTATAGATTAACGTAGAAGCATAGACAAAACAAAGCTGGAAAAGCCTTGCTTAACATGTACTTGCCAAATTCAATGTGCCATAAGCCAAAATTGGAGAAACCCTAAAATAATGACAATCGATCTATAACAGCAATTTGTTTAAACCAAATAGGCTTTTGTCGGATGGCTGGCAATTGTCTGTGTTGGATGGAGAAACGTGGTGGTGAAGGCGCTGGTGTATTAATTCCGAAACTTTCACACTTACTGCAAATACCGCCCCGATTCAAGCAGATGTAGTACACCAAAGAAAGTGGCTCAATGAAGCGCTTAGATAGTAAGCGCACAAAGGCGATGGTATGGCAGAAGCCAGCGAGGTAATTATATATGTATCTTGTAGGTACACAATAAGGAAGGCTGTCGCCCTATCTTGTATGGATCATTAAAGGCAATTCATCTTAAAACACTAAATGAGGACTATCACAACAAAGCTAAACGGGCGCGTAGCCAAGTAACCACGCGGTTGTACAAGCAGCTCCAAAGCAGAGCACAATAGCAACGGCGTTGAAGTAGCAATTTTGAACAGCGATAAAAGTAATAAAAAATTCATAACATGGACAGGCATATGAAAATACAATAGTGATATCAGATGCAATAATAAAACTACAATACTTTCTTACTATTATCGCTAGAGACGCATTGAATGCTTAAAATTTTTAAGGGTTAGACAAGATTATGTTGGATTTAAGATTAAGTTAAGATTATTTTTCTTGACCTGTGGAACCCGATGACTGACATCTGTGAATGCGGACAAGGAAGTATGCAATAAGTCATGCAAAACAGCATGCCGTAGAGAATATGAAGTGCGTCTGGCCAAAGGAAGCTGGCTGGTTGGTCGTGTGCAAATAGGTAATAAAGTAAATCAAAGGACGGCAAGGCAGCAGGTGTGGAAGGGTAGGGATCTAGGTGACTGTTGTAGGCTTGTCGCGGGTTTCAGACAGGAGACAAGTTACAGATCGATATATAACAAACTGGGGAACTACACAGGCAGACAGATGGGTATGGCTAAATTGATTGAGCTCATCATGGCGACCATTTATACATATGTACATATGTATGTACATTTTTGTAGGATCTTCGATATTTACTTTTGGGTGTTACAATTTTCGTGGCAAACATGGAGAAATACTTAACGAAGTTTCAATACAACAACTTAATTTTTAACGTTCAGTTTGTATGAAATCTATATGCTAATGTGGTCCGATCTGGAAATTTTTTTTCGGATATTGTAACGTTTCCTTGGCGATTAATTCATGAAAAATTTTGAGAAGATGCCGGCATATTTTTCAATACAATAGCTTGCTTTTAAATGTACATTTGAACCTGAAGAAATTTCAAAACTAAATTGCTTTTAAAGTGTTTATAAGCTACACTGGCGCATATATTAAACATGAAATGCACAATCTTGAAATCAATTAATAGAATAACAGGAAATACATAAATAGATAATAGATAAATTCTTCTCATTTATTTGAAAGTTGTCGCTTCTATTGTTTATTATTGTGAGGGACCCTTACAAAAGCTATATAAGTATGTACCTTTTAAAGGTGAATAAGCGTAGTGCAACGCGTTCACCAACAAATATTATGAACGCAGTAGTGAGTATGGCTGAACCAGTGAAGAACCACGATAACAATGACATAAATGCGGATTGTGCATTTTTGCAACAACTTCCATATGCTCAGCCCGGCGTATGTACATCTTTAGAGGTGCAAAAAGCGGGAACACAATGCTCGCGACAGACTGCGGCAGCACGACAGTGAACAGAAAATGGCGTTGTGAATCCTACTACATGAACATTTGTGAGAAGGCAGCAACATAATAATGGCCGGCATGTACACAAAAAAATGCAGTTGTCCATTTTGCATGTACACAATTTCGTTGTGGTCATACCAATACCTTGCACTTCAATGAAATTTTAATATTTTGTTCAAAATGAAATTTTTTATGCATAAAATAAGAAAATAGGTAAATTAATTCGTTTCATATTATCAATTGTTATTACAAATGATGTAAAAGAGCTATTTTATTCTTTTATTTGTAAAATGACGTCAGGTTTGTTAGAGCTTTGAATAATTTTACATTTTACATATTAGTGGCATCACCACTCTTCCTCATCTCTCTATTGTCAATTCTACTGTCGTTGGCAAATATAGGATAAAATTGAAGTTAGTGAGAACGACAACTGTCGGCCTGCAGTCGTTTAGTCGTGCAGCTGTCAAAATAGGTCCGTCCATAAGAACGTGTGTATTTTAATATTTGACAGATGTCGTTTGCCGCGAGCATTGTGTTCAGCACATGAGTTGTTAGTTTATTTGCATGCATAAGCGCTGTCGCCTTTAGAATTACCAAGGATGTGGCATGCCACGATGTATGAAGCGCGCACTGAATAGCTAATGTGTCAATCTATGTGGAATGGAAATGGAAAAATGTGACAAGAAACTTGATAAACGACAAAATAAAA